GTGAAAGTCAATCCCATTTCTACTTTGCAGTTCCACTCAGGCAGACCCGCTCTGAGTGGCATGCTGTAGTGTCTTTCAGCCTGCTCGTTGAAACGATGAGAGATCGTGCCTGTTCGTGATTTTCTTTTATCCATAACGAGGGTTTTCCATTAGGCATACTGTTTTTTGTTTTTGAGATGGGCATCCTCGTACAGCAGTAAAGGTTTCGACATGTAGTATATTTTTTTTCTTGCATTTTTGGACGAGATTTTCTTTCACTGTGAGTGGACGCCCGAGGCTAGAAACATGTAGTAGGCTTCCCCAGTTCGAGTGGGCCCAGTGTGACTCGAAGGCTACCGAACAGGGCCTCTCACTACGGAGGTCGTACACGAGTTTCCGGGAAGTACCCTAATGCGCGTAGCTCCCCGATTTATCGGGAAGAAGTTTCTTTGAAATTTTGTTCCTATACACCCACCATCGAGGTTCAGTTTCGATAATGCACAGCGCGTTACTACATTGATCCTGACTTCTCGACCCTGAACAATCAGACTATATAACTTCCCAACACTGAGCAATCAGGGTGATATTTTCCTGGAAAATGTGCACCCATGATAGAGGGGAATTTTTTTCCCGGAATCAGGGAGGCCTAATTTGAAACGTGAGCCCTGCTTGCGACACATTTGCCCATGCTTGCGACGATTGTTGTTTGATAAAAAAATGTGAAAGACTCAACTGTCAGTAGATCTGCACTATGGATGCTCGATTGATCCTACGGGGGATTACAGGCGCGTTTGCCTGGGGGGTTATGGGCGCACTCTGACCCGCTACTTAACAAGCCCTTTTATCCCAATGGTCTAGTGGTTGGGATTCTGACATGGTATCAGAGCGGTCTTGGGTTCGAATCCCGGTGTATGCACATGTTGGCCGTTGCCACTGTGCTCAGACCTGGGCCTCCCAGTGTGGGGGGGTGTCAGTAGATCTGCACTGTGGATGCCCGATTGATCCTGAAGAGGGTTACAGGCGCGTTCGCCTGGGGGGTTATGGGCGCACTGACCCGCTACCGAAACAAGCCCTTCTATCCCAGCGGTTAGTGACTGGGATTTTGACATGGTGTCAGTAAGGTCTCGGGTTTGAATCCCGGTGTATGCACATGTAGGCCGTTGCCGCTGTGCTCAGTCCTGGGCCTCCCAGTGTGGGGGGGTGTCAGTAGATCTGCACTGTGGATGCCCGATTGATCCTACAGGGGATTACAGGCGCGTTTGCCTGGGGGGTTATGGGCGCACTCTGACCCGCTACTTAACAAGCTCTTTTATCCCAATGGTCTAGTGGTTGGGATTCTGACATCAACAAGTGTTTCTCGCGTCAAGGAAAATATTTCGGAAAAAAACACTTCAGCTTTCCAAGTGAGTTTGAGACTTCAAGTGGACCCAACTAGAAGGGGGGGGGGAGGGGAGGTGGGGGGTCACTATTTTAGCTGCTGGCTTTAAAGACGATGACGATGACTGTGGGACAAAGAGCAAAGGGACGAGCAACAGTGTAATGTGAACTGAATTTGAACCTTGAGGAGAGGGCGGTTAATAGAAATAAGAGAAAACAGTGGGAATGTAACCTCGACACTGCCTAAACGACGTCGCTACAAGCATGAGTTACATGAATGGGATGTACGCGCGTTTTCTTTATGTCGGCAGCGTAGGTGGTTAGGAGCACATATTATTTTTTCACTATACATGACCACCCTTATGTCCAATTCAAAACTTATAGACACACTATTTTTGCGCCGGATGTTAGAGTATGTTATTTGTCTAGCCTGCAGTGGGGTACTGAATAGTGAGTACAGCCCTTTAGGGTTTGTTATTTGTATCAACCTGCTTGCTAGTCCAATCATCCTTTTCTCATTTCTTGTTTCTGTTCAACTCTCGCTTGTACTTGGAACCTCGCTCTAGTCTTCCTGTGGCCTAGGCTACTAAGCCTAGGCCCTACTCCTTAGTATATTTAACATGGTATCAGAGGGCGGCATGTCTGCCGCCTTCCTGTGTATCGACCCGCCACCTGCTTCTGCTGCCTTACTCTCCGCCGCGCACCCCGTGGTGCGCGGCGCCGAACTTAGGGTTCCTGCCCGGAGCGCGCGTCGCCCCTGCCCGAGGCGCGCCCCGTGTGCCGCACTCATGTCGCGTCCCCTGCCCTTAGAGGCCCGCCGCGCCCTCTTAGCGTCCCCTCTCACGGCCCCTTCGCGGCCCCTTCGCGGCCCCGTCGCCGCCCTTCGCGGCCCCGTCGCCGCCCTTCGCGGCCCCTCGCGGCCTCTTCGCGGCCCCGTCGCCGCCCTTCGCGGCCCCGTCGCTGCCCTTCGCGGCCCCGTCGCCGCCCTCTCACGGCCCCTTCGCGGCCCCTTCATGGCCCCTCGCGGCCTCTTCGCGGCCCCATCGCCGCCCTTCACGGCCCCGTCGCCGCCCGTCCCGGCTCTTCACGGCCCTGCAGCACCCGCCCCTGGAGCAGCCCGCACCTGCAGCAGCCGCCCCTGGAGCAGCCCGCACCTGCAGCAGCCGCCCCTGGTGCAGCTCGTGCCTGCAGCAGCCGCCCCAGGATCAGCGCGAGCCGCCCTTGCGGCAGCCCATGGCCCGTTCTTGCAGCCCGTCCCGTCCCCCCCCCCCCTCCCCTCCCCTCCTCGTGCATTCCGCGGTGGTGGGGGTGTGGGGTGTCGTGCATGGGGGTGCCCGTTGTGAGTTCCTCCCCTTGCTCCTCCTCCTCCCTCGTCTCCCACTGCTGCAGGGGGGTGGGTGTGTGGGAGCCTAGGGTTTAGGGTTTAAGGGGGGTGCCGTGGGAGTGGAGCTAGGGTTTCAGCAGGGGGTGTGTGAGAGGGGCGTGGGGCAGCTGGGGGAGGTTTGGTGGAGGCAGCCGTCGTGTCGCCAGCAGCACCAGTAGTCTGGAGGCTACAATCTCCGGTAGTCGCCAGTCGCTTGTGGTCAGTTGTTCCGGTCTGGAGGCTACAATCTCCGCGGAGCCAGTTACTCCTGTAGTCTGGGCCTTTGCTTCGGTAGCCACTGAGCCAGCAGCTCCTGTGTGTCTGCAGCTTCAGCAGTCGCCTCCCATCTTCTCTCCCCCACAGTCTCTCCTCCTCACTTGCCCCCTGTGATAGCCTCTAGCTTTACTTGTGCATGTGAACCTTCTCTATGACTGCTTGCTCTGCTGATTGTACCCCACTTTGACTATGGGGGTGTGTCAGAGTATGTTATTTGTCTAGCCTGCAGTGGGGTACTCAATAGTGAGTACAACCCTTTAGGGTTTGCTATTTGTATCAACCTGCTTGCTAGTCTAATCATCCTTTTCTCAATTCTTGTTTCTGTTCAACTCTCGCTTGTATTTGGAACCTCGCTCTAGTCTTCCTGTGGCCTAGGCTACTAAGCCTAGGCCCTAGTCCTTAGTATATTTAACTCCGGATTCCTAGGATTGGTCGTGTCGCTGCGCCGTGTTCTTGCAGGAGCATGTTGTAAGGTAAGAACTACATTCATGGAGTGTGCAACTCACTAGACTAACAAGGTATCGGTTACGGTGCAAAGGCAGAAATATGGTCGGAACTGTGCACGCCAGCCTCGATCAATTCTTGTAACAGTCAACGAAGGCGCGTAAATGCACACACTGGATTCGCACAACACCAGATTTCCAAAATTGCGGGCCTGATGCAAGTCCGCAGGCAAATAGCAAACCTATTGGAACTTCGAGCCTTGTTCGGGTCCTCTTGCGCCGAACTTGGAGTAGGGAGTGTCACCTTGGGTGGTAACCAGCTGTTCGAATCCCAGAATTCTGGGAGTTGGCGCTGATGTAATACGGTTTAAAAATCAAACGGTTAAGTACGGTGCTTGTTCGATCGAGCCATTTTGAACGTCCGAGGTGACAGGCCCTAAGTTAGTTGACGGTAAATTGCGTTGGGAGCAGGCCTGTCGAAGTTCCTGGGGCCCATACTTGCGCTCCCCAGCTCCTCCCGACCTGACCCTGGTTTTGCCGTAGCTGAGCGTTTTGGCGCCCTTAACGGTCACGGGCGCACCCCAAAGTCAAAACTTGAAATCTGGGCCTGTAAAAAAAATCCACTTACACTGTTTCAACTCTGATAGAACTTGCAGTTAACTAATACTAACAGAAGTCAAACCTACCAAATACTACTGATGTTATAAATCCTACCTACACTGCAATGTTCAGCTTCTCTTCCCTTAACTACATATCCAGCTTGCAATTATTTACTACTCTACTCTAACTAGACATGCAATGCATGCTTATTTGGCAGGCTTCCTCCCCTTCCTCCCCTTCGCCTCAAGAATGGCATAGGCCTCTGCCCAGTCCACCGGGTAGTCAAGCATCTTCAACGTCATCAGCTCCCCCAGCCTCACATCAGTAAGAGCAACGCGATCCCACGACTTAATCATGTTTTGCCGGGAGAAGCCCCTCTCGCACTCAACAGTGCTGAGGGGCAACACAGAGACAGCACACCAGAGAGACACAATGGTGGGATAGTCATCCCTCCAGTCTGCCGTGCGCGGCATGTTGGTGAGAGCCTGATGGAAGCTCTACTTCTCGAATTTCTTCTCCATGGTGGCTGTGAAGAGCCTTTGAAACTCCAACAAGCTTGTCCATTGACAAGTCCTTCAAAAACAGGAACTTCACGATCGGGTCATACAGTGTTGTGGCATCGCAACAGTTGACCGTCCGGTGTGCAAAAAACTGGGTGACCACGGACTCGCTCCTCTCAAACGTGATGTACACGATGAGGTGCTTTCCGCGGGCGCGATCCGTGGATTCATCGAAAGAGAGGCCATACCAGGCCGACTCTTTGATGTCCACAAGCTGTCGGCCCGCCAGATGCTCCGCCATAGCCTCCACGAACTCACCGAAGGCGTATCTGCAGAGATCACGGCACGAAACAATAGTGTAAGCAAATGAATAACAAAAAAACAACAGCCATTACGAAATTTCCGAGACTAACACGCACGTACCTCGAGTAATAACGACCGTACGATTCGCTGTTCATCATGTCAGGACATGTCCAAGAGGCTGCGCCGCCTCACCTCCATGCCTTCAGCGAGTCGTTCAGCATCCATCGCCGCGAGGTGCACCTTGGACTGGTCATGGTTGCGGCATGCCGACTTCTGAAAATCCCTTGCACCGACGCTACAACCGCCAAAGGGGGACTTGGTGTTAGGAGCGTACTTAGAGCACACGGAACACTTCATACCATATTGCGTCTCTTCATGGTCGTACTTTAGACTCAGCCATGAGTACGTCTGCTTCCATGACGTGCTGAAGCGACGACCATTCGCCTTCTCAGCAGCAGGGATCTGGTTCTGGGTGTCCTGGGGAACTGCTGCATCTTCTGCGATAGCCTTGTCCAGCGCCTCAAGCTCCTCTTGAGTGGGTGTAGACGGTACACTACGGGCGCGCTTTCGCGACTCTACTGGGGGGTCCGCGAAGCTGAGGTGCACCTGACGATAGCGACCATGAGACCTAGGTGTAGACTGGGACGATGAGGCCTGGAGGGTGAGGCGCGGGTCCAAGACTGAGATTGCTACGTCCTGCATCTGCGCAGTGTCCGTGGGTTCGTAAGGCTCAGTCTCGGTGGTACTATGAGAGAGGCTCGTCATGGGCAAAACTGTTGGAGGGGTTTCACCCTCGCTAGGGTCCAATATGGCTGATGTGAAAATATTACGAGGAATGAAAATGACTAAGTGAAAGTTGAGTACAAGTACAAACCCTAGAAATATGACACACTATAGCCTACAGTAGCTATGTCATATAAATCTGACACACCCCCATAGGCAAAGTGGGGGAGAACAAGGGGTCACAAGACCAGTCAAGCAAAGCAAATCAAAGCAAGCTCAGGGTGGATCACAAAGTCACCACACATTCCGAGCACAAGTTCAAGGCCACAAGGCCAGTTCACATGCAGGATTACATATATATATAAGGCTAGACAAGCAAGAGCAGGACAACATATATATGTAATAGTACAAACAAGGTCAAAGGGTGAGCAAGTGAGGCAAGGTAGGCACAAGGCCCAGCTGAGTACAGGTGCGCTGATGATCACAAGGCGCAAGTGCCTTGGTGAAGATATCAGCAGTGTTGGCCTGAGAGGCCACGTACGCAAGTCGCAGCTGACCACGCTGCTGTAGCTCACGAGCAAGGAAGCAGCGGAGAGCAATGTGCTTTGTTCTGTGCTCCAGTCTCTGCTCTCGACACAAGGCCAGCATGGCCTTGTTGTCTACGTACAGCACTGGAGGAGAACGAGGCGGCTCTACGAGGTCAGTCAGCAGGTAGGTGAGCCAGCGAAGCTCCTGTGCAGCCATGGCTCCTACGTAGATCTCAGCCTCACAACTGGAGCCGAGAACAGAAGACGAGTGGGTAGCCCGCCACGAAACAGAGTCGGAGCCAAGGCTGAAGGTGTAACCCTGTGACGACCGCTGCGTAGCCTGGTCGTCAGCCCAAGAAGCGTCTGCGTGCCCAGTGAGGACCATTGGAATCTGCCCTCCAAGAACAAGCCACATGCCCGACGTACTGCACAAGTAGCGCAACACCCTCTTCGCTGCAGCCATGTGCTCCGGTCTGTGTCTCCCGGGAGCAACATAGCGTGCGAGAATGCTAAGAGGGTATGCAAGGTCAGGTCGTGTGCTGGTCATCAAAGACATGAGGCAGTCAACAAGCTCTGGGTACGGGCCACTCGACTCTACGGACTCATCCGAAGGCAGAGATGAGAGCGAGTGGCGAGTAGGCAGAGGAGTGGCCTGAGGCGAGGAGTACGTGAAGCCGAAGCGCTGAAGGACCTGCTGCACCATGTGTGACTGAGTCAGGGTAATGGTGCGGCGTGCTCTGTCCCGGGTGATCTGCAAGCCAACGTAGCTGCGCAGTTCACCCAGGTCTGTGCACGTGTGTCTCTTCTGCAGCTCGGACTTCACGTGGGCGAGCCCAGCAGTGTCAGCTGTGGCAAAGACCAAGTCGTGGACGTACACGAGGATGTAGAACGGCGGCAAGGAAGTGTCGGTGCGCAGAAACAGCGACGGGTCGGCAGTAGAGGGAGCAAACCCAAGAGCCGCAAGTGTAGTCCTCAGTGTGTCGTGCCACTCACGGGGCGCCTGGCGGAGACCATAGACTTGCCACCGGAGGCCCCACTGGGTACCAGGAGGAAACGACCCAGTGAAGCCAGGTGGGCGGCGCAGCCAGATCTCCTCGTGCAGGCTGCCCTTCAAGAAAAAAGTGCTAAAGTCAAGAGAATGCAGCTCGTAGTCACGGTGAGCAGCTATGTGCAGCAGTACCCGAAGAGTGGTCATCTTCGGGGTGGGAGAGAAGGTCTGAAAGTAGTCAACTCCCTGCCCCTGACTGAAGCCACGAGCCACGTAACGCGCCTTGAAGACAGGCGGAGAACCCAGCGGTCGCTTCACCTTGAAAATCCACATGCCACTGACGATGTTCGCCCCAGGAGGGGGAACGTCATCAACGTAGGTGCCTGTGGACTTCCAGGAAGCCATCTCTGCGTCCATAGCTGCCTGCCACTAAGAGGAGTAGGGACCCTCTATCGCCTCCGCGTAAGAGCGCGGAGTCGGGATGGCAAGTGCATCCGGGTCTCCCTTAGGGGTAAGCGGTACGGACACGAGATGAGGTGAAGCAGCAGCCAAACACCGGAACTCCTCAAGAGCAGGAAGAGAGGACTCAGGAGGAGAAGGCAAAGGAGCACGCAAGAGCACGAAGAGAGGACTCAGGAGGAGAAGGCAAAGGGGCACGCAGAGGAGCAGTGGACGGAAGCAGAGACATCCTGTGTGTGCCAGGGACAGAAGGAGGATGCTGACGCGAACCACGACCACTAGTGCAAGCAGCACGGACAGGCGACGCAGGGCGAGACGCAGGCTCACGACGCTCAGCAAGACCTCCAGTAGGACCAGTGTATGGAGAAGGAGTAGGCAGTGGGGAGGCAGGCTGTAACTGTAACTGCGATGAGACAGACTGTGGACACGCTAAGGGAGAAGGAGGACGAGTAGAAAGCGGGAGACCAAGAACCTGCTCAAGGAGCGGAACGAAGTACGGCCGAGGCCGCGCAGCGACTCCAGACACAGCAGGGACAGCACCAGTACCCCCAGCAGTAGCACCAGCGCCAACAGCACCTCCAGCTCCAGTACCCCCAGCAGCTCCAGTAGCTCCAGGACCTCCAGCAGCACCAGTAGCACCCCCAGCAGGACCGCCTCCAGTACCGCCCGCAGCACCAACACCCTCAGCAGCTCCAGCTCCAGTCAGGCCGCGAGAAGACGCAGTGGCTCTAGCTCCTGTAGTACCCGCAGGCCAAGCAGCTCCAGTACTCCCAGTACGAGCACCTCTGGGACCCCTGGCACCAGCACCCTCAGCAGCCGAAGAACCGTCAGCTCCAGCAGCACGCCTCCAGCGGCGGGCAAACCACTCACGCAGCTCCTGTGGAGAGAGTGGCTCCAGTCGAGACGGAGCACCCGGAGAACTGCCAGGCCCATCACTGCCAGACGGAGCACCCCCAGGCTCAAAACCCCTTGGCGCAGCACCCCCAGGCGTAGCACCCCCAGGCTCAGCACCCCCAGACTCAGTACCCCCAGGCTCAGCAGCTCCAGTCGTAGCACCCCTAGGCTCAGCACCCCCAGGCGCAGCAGCTCCAGGCGTAGCACCCCCAGGCTCAGCACCCCCAGACTAGGTACCCCCAGGCCCAGCACCCCCAGGCGTAGCATCCACACGCTCAGCACCCCCAGAGTCAGCACCCCCAAGCTCAGCACCCTCAGCAGCACCAGAGTCACCAGCAACCTCCATAGGCTCAACTGCGTCTACCTGGGACACACCTGAAGGGGCAGGACCCTGAGGGGGAAGGGGGTCTACCGGGGGGGGACATGGCACAAGGAAGAGCGGTGGTGGGGGGAGGGACGGAGTGCGGTAGGGGAAGAGACGGTAGTTGGAGACCGACTCGTCAAACGTGACGGCGAGAGGTGGGGTGGTAGAACTGCCACCCTGACGCGTCAGGGGGGAAGCCAAGGAAGACGCAGGGAGCAGCACGAGGGGACAGCTTGTCCGCAGACAAGTCGCGGACAAACGCCCGAGATCCCCAGACACGGAACGCAGACGCATCGCCAACCTTCCCCGTCCACAGAAAAGCTGGGGAGGTCTCCGGCATGGAGACCCTGGGCTGAAGGTTGATCTGATGCGCCGCGTACCGAACCGCAAACGGCCACAGAAAATGGGGGGCAGCCGCATGCATCATGGACGTACGGGCGACGTCCATGACCATGCCAATGCGGCGCTCAGCAATCCCATTTTGCTGTGGAGAGTCCGGAAGCGTGAAGGTCTGGCGGATGCCTCGTGCACGTCAGTAGGCTCGCAGAAGGCCAGAGGAGAACTCTCCGCCTCTGTCAGGGTGCAGACGCAGAACACGAAAGTCCGAGTCGAAGCTCTGCCTGAGCTGGAGACGAGCTGCGCGGATCCAGTCGATCAACACCTCAGTGACATCACCCTTGCTGCGCAAGGGGAAGACTGTGGTGTAACGCGAGTAGTCGTCAACCACCAGCAGGAAGTAGCGCTCGTGACCCTGTCCACGGACGCGGGCCGGGCCCCACACGTCCATGTGAAGCATCTGCAGCGGGGCCTCTGTCGGAGGAAACTGGGAGGAGTGAGGGGCAGCCCGCTGCCGCCCCTCGACACCAGGGACGCAGGTAGGGGCAGGCCCCGGAGGAAGGGGAGGGAGGGACCGGGGAGGACCAGAGACAAGGACTCGGTAGGCCATGCCTCGGAGACGAGGGAGGGAGGGGTGACCAAGGCGGTGGTGCCAAAGGAGAGTCTCGTGAGACAGGCGGCGACACGAGCTGGGGCAGACTCAGGACCAGACCTGGACGCTGCAGCAAACACCTGACCCGACGTAGCTACCTGACTAGACGCAGTGACTGGAGGAGACTCAGTGGTCAGTGTGTACAGGCTCGACCCCGGTCGACGTGTAAACGTGGCCAAGTGTCGGCCCGTCCGAGCGTCCGTGCAGTGGGTCACCCGCTGGCTCGCAGGAGTGAACTGGTGAACTCCCCCATCCTGTAGGTCAGCACCACTCACCAAGTTCGTAGAGAACGAGGGGAGGTAAAGACCATACAGGGTGCCAGAGGGGGCCGCCGGACACGGGAGGACAGTGGAGAAGTGAGCAAGGACAGGACCCCCAAAGGGGTCTGCCAAAGAGACTGCAACTGGCCGACCAAGCGGCGTGAGTGTGGTGCGGTCTCGAAAGAAGGAGCGAGAAGCCCCCGAGTCAAGGGTGAAGGTGAGGGAGGCCGAAGCCGACGCAGTACCTGAAAGAGCAGACTCACCAGCACCTGAGGAAGCAGACGCACTAGCACCTAGAGCAGTAGCCTCGCTAGCACCTACAGCAGCAGCCTCCCCAGTACCTAGAGCAGCAGTCCCAATGCCCGGGTCGGGCGGAAAACACCGGTAACAATCACCCTCATCACTAATAGTCACAGCATACATGGCAGCAAGAATAGCATCAAAGTCAAGGTCAAAGATAGCTACTCCCGCCCTAGACAGCTCACCCTAGTGAGGGATCTCAGTGGCCTCAGGGAACTGGTGACGCCAAGCGTCCGTCAGGCGGCCAAAGCAGCGCTGGGTGGAGTGCGCCCCCCCGCACTGCTCACCCGCGCGGTCGCCTGTGCGTAGGACGTAGGTGCACGGACCAGTACCCCCACCCCGCTGGTGTGCAGCGTACCACTCACGAAGCTGCTGAGAGGGGGGGGGGGGGGTCTCACGAGTGCGCTGCTGCTGCTGCTGGCACTGACCACTACCGGAGCCAACCCTCTGTGTAGCGCCACCCCGACCAGCTCCACCTCCTCCGCCGCCGCCTCCTCCACCGCCGCCACCTCCGCCACCTCCGCTCCCACCGCCACCGCCGCCGCCGCCTCCGCCTCCACTGCCGCCACCGACGCCTCCACCCCCGCCACCACCCCCACCGCTACCCCCACCCCCTCCGCCGCCTCCACCGCCGCCTCCACCGCCCCCGCTAGCTCCTCCAGCGCCCCTTCCCCCTTTGCCCTTGCCAGGGCGGCGTCTCCCGCTAGGGGTAGACGCTGCACCGACCGACTCAAGACCAACGAGGTCGGCCGCAGCAGCAGAGGCAACAGAGGGCAAGAGAGGAGAGGGGGAGCACCCCTCAAAGACAGAGGCACGAGGGTCACCACGGGAGGCTCCTACATCGACTATGCTCTTCTCTGCTGCTAGGAGGCGCTCCTCGAGGAGGTCAACGGTGAGAGTGGTGGGGCAAACAGAGAGAAAGTCGTCCCTGACCGGGCGAAGGGTGTCAGGGAGCCGGGTGAGTATGTAATAGAGGGTGATGTACATAGGGCGGGGGTTCTTGGCGCAGAACTCAGCGGGAAGGGCAGCGCGGTAACGAATGTCACTAGTGCGAAGGTGCATAATGAGGTCAGCGACTGTGGGAAAAGCGGCGAGGTCAGGGAAGAGGTACGGCAGGATGAGGCGGCTAAGTGCAGCAATGGCAGGGGAAGAGTAGCGTGCAACTACAGTGTCGTACAAGGTCCTAGCACTCTTGTACTGGGTAAAGTGCGCACGCTCAGAGGTAGGCAAGTGGCGATGCACAGCAAGACGTGCAGCAGCATCGCGTGTGGCCCACTGTGAGCGAACAGTGGCGTCAGCATCAGCAGCAGGGGCAGGAGAGGCACCAGAAGTGAGGTCAAAGAGGGAGAGACCGTCTGCCCTATCGCACTGTAGGAAAAGCTGCAGGTCATCTACCCTGACGTCAAAGTCAATGGCCCGACCCTCAGTGTCAAAAGCGAGGACACTGGGGGTAGCCATGACAGCAGTAGACTAGCAGCGCGAGCAGCAGGCTAAGGGCAGTGCAGTGGCAGAGGTGCTGCTCTTATCGGGCACGCGAGAAGGACCGAGACTCACCAGCAGGAACGGGGCCGCTACCGTAGTGACAGGGTGTAGCGGACAGGGTGGCTCGGCGGTACCAGCGACTCGGCAGCAACGGCGGCTCGGGCGGCTCGGCGGCAACGGCGGCTCGGGCGGCTCGGCGGCAACGGCGACTCGGCGGCAACGGCGGCTCGGCGGCAACGGCGGCTCGGTGGCTCGGGCTGCTCGGCGGCTCGGGCGGCTCGGCTGCTGCAGGGGCAGCGGCTGCTGCTGCAGGGGACGGCGGTGGCCGCTGCTGCAGGGACGGCGGCAGCCTCCTGCAGGGACGGTGGCGGCCGCTGCTGCAGAGACGGCGGCGGCCGCTGCTGCAGGGGACGGCGGCCGCGACCGCTGTAGCGACTGCTGCTGCTGTTGCAGAGGTGGCGACGGCGGGCCGAGAGAGGCCGCAAAGGGCGGCGGACGGGCCGTGAAGGGCGGCACGAGGGGCCGCGGAGGGCGGCGACCGGCCGTGTAGAGGCCACTAGGGGTGGCTCGACGGGCCGTAAGGGCGGCGCGAGGGGCCGCGAAGGGCGGCGACGGGCCGTGAAGGGCGGCGCGAGGGGCCGTGAGGGCGGCGCGTGGGGCCGTAAGGGCGGCGCGAGGGGCCGTAAGGGCGGCGTGAAGGGCCGTAAGGGCGGCGGAAGGGCCGTCAGAGGGGCCGCAAGGGCAACGCGAAGGGGGCGTAAGGGGCCTAGAGAGGGCGTGACGGTAGGGAGGGCACGCGGGGCGCGATTCGGGTAGGAGCGAGGCGTGCTCCGGGAAGGAAAAAAAATCGATTGGGTGGGCCCTAGGAAGCGTTCCCACGAGGGAACCAGCTCTGATACCATGTGAAAATATTACGAGGAATGAAAATCACTAAGTGAAAGTTGAGTACAAGTACAAACCCTAGAAAGCTGTACCCTATATGTGCTACCCCACTATATCCTACAGTAGCTATGTCATATAAATCTGACAGCTAATTGTGGCTGCTGAAGGCTACGGTTCAACTAGCCATAATATAGAGCTAAGGTGTGTGAGCGAGGCGACGCGAGGTTTGCTCGGCAGAGTGGGCCGGTGGAGCGGGAGAGGCACTACCATGGTCCCTGGCACGAATGAAGGTGGAGAGGAGAGGAGAGGAGAGAGAGCTTGGGTGGGTGGGTGGTGGTGGTTGGATTGGTAGTGGTGGAGAGAAACATGGCACGAACGAAGGTGGAAAGAGAGAGCTCATCTGCTGGAGTGCTTCCGTTGCATGGACGTGCTAGGTGTTAGTGTGTTGGTGTTGTTCTTTGTGGCCAATCAACTTAGCCAGATTCAATCAAAGTCATATGTGTCCCAGCTGTACCCTGCGGCCAGCTCGTATTGGACGCAAAGGGAAAATTCGGGTGCTCCAAAGCTGACAAAGGCACGGGATTGGCTAGAACACGCTGAGGGAAAAATCCACTTGGCGCGCTCTCGTGCAACCTACGGAGAAGGAGGAGGGGGGAGGGGGGGGTGGGTGGGGGTAGGCAGGTTCGGGGGGGGGGGGGGGGGGTCCTACTACTAGAAACCAAAACTTTGAGTAAGGGGAAGGCCTGGTTTCGGCCCTTAACGCATCCGGGGAAGGGTCGAACGAGGCACTTTGTGGCACGGGTGCAGTACGAATCTAACACTTTACGCAGTCGAGCTGGAGCAAAAGTAGCCCAGAATGTTCAGGGCATTAAGGGCATATGCCTATTAATCGACAGGCCTGGTTGGGAGCGAGTTGGACCCCCCCACATCTTTTGAGACCAGCCATTTTCAGGTGCGTGCAACTTAGCCTAGGAGCGTTATTCAAGTGCATGCCAGGTTATTGTGCAGGTGCGTTTCTCAGGCTAAACAATGTCTCCCGTGATTTCACACGCTCACCAAGATTCGATTCGAATTGGCACAAAATGTCTGAAATAGATGCAATTTCGGGCAACGCAAATCGGAATCAGAATGTTTGGCTCTCGATGCTGCATTTTCCGACGTCACTTAGTACAATTATTGCATTTTTGCCCAATTGCTACTCAAATTTCTGCTTCGCGCCAATGTTTTTTAAACGAATTTTAATGCTAAATCGACTGTACTGTTGGCGCAGGTGGCGGACGCTTCGCGGGTCGAATTAGCAAACCCTTATGGGACGTGCATTAGTTGGAAAGGGTAATCCGAAACACGAGAAATCTGTTAGAGTGTTACAGGAGTTACCCGTACCGCTATTAAGGATATACCGTACTGGTACATGTATATTAAATGGCACGTATTTAACGCCATGGTATTCCACCTATTTCAATATATATGTACGGCAAAACATTAATTTTGGTAGGGCCAAAATTTACAAACGTTTGGGCATATTTATAATTTACCCTCACCTAGTTTTTGCACACCCATCCGCAGCGCCCGTCATCTGCGTCAACAGTACAACAGATCTAGCATTAGATTCGTTCAAAAAGTGTTGGTGCAAAGTAGAAATTTGAGTAGCAATTGGGCAAAAATGCAATCTTTGCACTGAGTGACGTCGGAAAATGCAGCAGCGAGAGCCAAACATTCCGATTCTGATTTGCGTTGCCCGAAATTGCATCTATTTCAGACCTTTTGTGCAAATTCGAATCGAATCTTGGTAAGCGAGTGATATTATGGCAAACATTTTTTAACCTGAGAAACGTGTATGCACCTGCGCAATAACCTGGCATGCACTTGAATAGCGCTCCCAGGCTAAGTTGCATGCTCTGAAAATGGCCGTTTTGAGACGTGCCTGCGACCGTCGCTGGTTGATTCCGTGACTCCCGCTTTGAGCCAGTCAATAATCTCCAAAAAAACGCGCACACATTTAGTACATTTCATTCGCACACAAACTATCAGACGAGTTTAGTACAACAGAACGCCGTCGCCGCGCCTTTAAGAATTCGGACCGTCTGAAATGAGCTGTTTCTGCTTCGGCGGCGGCAACACACGGGACCCTTCCCCACCGCCACCGCAAAACAATCCGACAGTCGCGAGAACGCTGAGCGACGCCAAGAATTCCACCGCGGTTAGTAGAGCAGCGAGCGACGCGAAGGGCCCGAGAGCGCTGAAGCGACATATTTCCAACACCACAGCAGACCCTACTGGGATCACCACCGACACCGCCACATTGCCAGATCCGTCCTTCTTACCGAACCCAACTGCAACGGGATCCGCGTTACCGAATCCAACTGCTCTACTTTCGAACCCTAATGCTGTTCCCACCGCGCTTCCGTGTCCCGACAGCGGGCCGTTGCGACCCGCGGATTCCGTAATCGTGACTATATCGAATGGTGACGGTGATATCGTTTCCCCAGCTACTACAAAACAGCCGCAGCAGGCGGCGTCCGCCTCGCTGCTAAGTCCGAACCCCGCGGGACCGCCGATTCTAATATCCTCTGCTGCTACTACTAATGCTACCATTGCTGCTATTGGTTCTACTGCTGCTAATACTGATAGTAATTCTCCCCAAATCACGTCTCCAACTGTCGTAACTCCTAGTCCGCGAGGAGCCGGCGCCTCGGTTGCTGCTACTAACGCGTTCGCCGCGCATCGTCTCCCAAGCCCTGCTGCTCCGCTGCCGGCCCCTAAGGCCGCCACGTCATCAGCTACCGCCACGTCAGCAGGTCCTGTCCAGGTAGGCGCTGACGCCCCGAGCCCGCGCGGAGTGGCGGCGGGCGGAAGCTTCCAGAGTCCGCGCGGGCGGAAGAAGCCGTCCGCCGCGCAGCCGTTGCGCACCCCCAGCGCATTGGCGCGCCTCCCCCTCCCTGCATCTTCCGCCGCCGCGTCCTTCGCCGCATCCGCCCCTTCCGCCGCTTCCGCCTCTTCCGCCTCCTCCGCGTCCTCTATCTCCGTCGGCGCATCCTCCATCTCCCCCTCCACCCGTTCTGCCTCCCCCTCCGCCGCTTCCGCCTCCCCCGCCGCGCATTCCCCCGGCGCCAGCCAACCCACGGAGAACTCCAGAAATGCTTCTCCGAAAACCGCCGGCGCTGCTCCGCCCGCGCAGGTGGCGCAGGTCGGTTCCGCCGCTGCCTCTCCCGCCGCTACGCCCTCCGTCGCTCCGCCGGCTGCGGGAATTGCGGCAGCGGCGGTGCCCCTTCCGCTGCCAGCAAGCGGCGAAATCGCCGCGCGCGCAGCTGCCGCGTCCAGCGCGCAACCCGCGAGCCCGGCGGGTGGCGCGGGCGCAGGGGGGGCGGGGGGCGTGGGGGGCGCGGGGGGCGCGGGGGACGCGCGAGCTGTGATTCCGCCTTCCCCCAGCGCCGCCCTCTTGGGGGCGAGCGATTGGGGAGTAGGGGGAGGAGGGGAGAGAAATGTGGGGTCTTTAGGGAGGCATGGAGAGGACGGGGGTGAGGCGAAACAACAGCAGCAGCAGCAACAACCGTCGCAGCAGTCACATAGAGACAATCAAGGGCAGAAAGGACAACCTGGTGATGGAAACGGATCGCTCCATAGCGGGGACAGCAGCGCCTGCACCAGCACTGTAACCGAAGCAACGCCGCCATCCCCAGCTTCTGGTGCTGCAGCTGCTGCCTCTGCTGCTGCAGCTGCTGCTGTAGACGCAGCAGTTTCAGCTGCTGCTAGTGCCAACAGCACCGGCAGCAGCAGTGGCAGCAGCAGCGGCAAGGGGAAAGCGCCGACGCCCCTGATTCCCTTCACGTACGCGCAGGTGCAGCAGATGGCAGGAGGGTTTGCGGAAGAGGGTAGAATCGGCGAGGGCGGGTTCGGCGTGGTGTACAAGGGGAATTTGCCCACGAAAAGCGGGCGCAAGATTCCCGTGGCGGTGAAAGTGCTGAATGCGGAGGGGCAGCAGGTAGGCGTTTGATTAAAGCACAGCATGTAGGGCTTTGATATAATCACAGCAGGTAAGTGTTTTAGATGGTTGTAGAGATATGTTGGCTGACAGGCAGGCTGGCTGGTATCAAGCACTTCTAAATGGTTGCTGTCTGATGCTTTTGCCTTTTCTTATCAAGCACTTCTGACATGGACTTTTTCAGCCTGAGTGCTGCGTACGGAAGGGCAGCAGGTAGGGCTTTGAGACAGTCACATCTGCTGGTGCATTTTTCCCTCCGAATTAGCATTTCCCTTCCCAACAACCTTGGCCCCAATCCCTCTCCTCCCATCACTTCCCCGCCTCTCGTCTTTAACCCCCCCTCAGATCCCAAGGGTCATCTTGTCTCATAGTTGAAGGGCTGCAGTAGTCGACTCGAAACACCTCATCTCTCCCCCATCTCTCGTTTGAGTAGACTCGAAACACCTCATCTTTCCCCCATCTCTCGTTTTGAGTCGACTCGAAACACCTCATCTTTCTCCCATCTCTCGCGCCCTTCATCTCTCCCTTCGTCGCCCACCACAGCCCTTCCTTGCTCCCATCAGGGCGAGCGCGAGTGGTTGACAGAGGTCAGCTTGGTGGCCCATTTTTCTCACCCCAACCTCAACTCCCTCGTGGGTTACTGCGCTCACCGCCACATGCTCCTCTACCCCTCTTCCCTTTCACGCTGTCTCTCTCCCGCCCGTCCCCCTTTCCCTCCCTGTGTCTCCCTCTCCTGCTTCCCTTCCCCCTCCCTTCTCCAGCTGCCCATCTCCCTCTCCCCATCCCTCACTACAGGGCGAGCGCGAGTGGTTGACTGAAGCGAGCGTGGTGGCCCATCTCTCCCACCCAACCTCATCTCTCTCGTCGGTTACTGCGTGCACCACCACCACCGCATGCTCCTCTACCCCTCTCACCCTCCCGTTCCCCTTCCCCCTGTTTCCTTTCCCCTCCACGTCCCGCTTCCCCTCCCCATGTCCCCATCTCCTTCTTCCCCTCTCCCTCTCTCCCTCCACCTCTCTCTCGTCTTTCTTCCCCTCACTACAGGGCGAGCGCGAGTGGTTGACTGAAGTGAGCGTGTTGGCCCATCTCTCTCACCCCAACCTCATCTCCCTCGTGGGTTACTGCGCGCACCACCACCACCGCATGCTCGTCTACCCCTACCTGCCCAACGGCTCCCTCGAGCGAAAACTTTTCGGGCTGCCCGCCAAGGAAACGCTGCTGACGTGGCAGCAGCGGATTGGCATTGCGGTCGGGGCGGCCAAGGGCCTAGCGTATCTGCACGAGGAGATGGACAGACCGGTAAGGTCAGAATGAGCCACACTATTCTTTTGTTTCCGACCCAAAATTTTAGGCCTGGCATCACGGTCGGGGCGGCCAAGGGCCTGGCGTATCTGCTCTGCACGAAGAGATGGAGAAACCGGTGAGTTTTGCGTCGACTCATGTGTCATATCAATTCACTCTAAATATTGTTTCTTGAGACAGCGCAAAATGCTCCAAGGGCCTGGCGTATTTGCACGAGGAGATGGAGAAACCGGTGAGTGACGAGATGAATCAGATGCAAGTTAAAAAAAAAAAAAAAGTCGTTTTTTGAAAATTTACCGCAAAAAACGGCCGTATAAAACAGTAAAAAAACGGTTCCAGAAGGTGGTTTCGGTTGAAGAAAAAATCAGCCATTTATGGGACCAAATTGATGGCGAAAATCACCAGCATGAAGAGGACGAACCCCTCCTTGCATGAAGAGGACGAACCCCTCCTTGCATGAAGAGGACGAACTCCTCCTTGCATGCGTGCGCTTGTGGGCATGATTGAAAATGTATTCGATCTTGTTTTTCCCCTTTTTTTCTTGGTGACAACAGTTTTCTAACAAAAAAACACATTTTTTTTGGAAAATTACCGTAAAAAACGGACCGTTTTTTACGGAAACCGTATTTTTGAACCTCAGATGTGGTTGAACTTGTCTTAAACTTCAAAGGACCGCGATCTCTAAATGTCCAACATCCCGTTAACCAAGGACTCACTCACTGCTACCGCCATCGCGCCCCCACTCCGCCCCATGAGATCATCTATTGTGATCGTGATTTCAAAACGTCCAACATCTTTTTATTCAAGGATTGGCACGCCAAGCTCTCGGACTCTGGACTCCCACTCATTCACTGCTACCATCACCTTTCCCTATCTCTTCCCTTAGCCTCGTCATCCACCCCACCCCACTCCATTTCATCAGATTATTTACCGTGATTTTAAAACCTCCAATATTCTGTTGACCAAGGACTGGCAAGCAAAGCCCTCAGACTTTGGACTCCCACTCACTGATTCCGCCACCTTTGCCTCATCCCCCATCTCAACTCACCCCGCCCCACTCCACCCCTCTCCACCCATCAGATCATCTACCGTGATTTTAAAACGTCCAACATCCTTTTAACCAAGGACTGGCAGGCGAAGCTCTCTGACTTTGGGCTCGCAAGAAGCGGGCCCGAGGGGGACAACACACACGTATCCACTCGGGTAAGCACCTCAGCACATGCACGTTGACGGGTAAGCACATGCACGTTGACAGGTAAGCACATGCACGTTGACGGGTAAGCACATGCACGTTCACGGGTAAGCACCGTGGACTGGCATCTTGCTGACCAAGGGACTGGCACGCCAAGCCCTCAAATTCTGGGCTCGTGAGAATCGGGCCAGAGGGGGACAACACCCACGTGTCCACACGGGTGAGAGATCTTGACGTTTGAGTGGCTTGTGGGCCCACTTGACTTGCGCTCAACTCACAAGTCAGAAGGAAGGGGTCCGTAAGGGGACAACTTCTTAGGATCGTAAACGCCTTAGTCGGCAATAGTCTACTTGCTATTGCTTATCGTGTTCTCCACGATCTCACGAATCCAATGATATGCGCAGCTCTGCTTGAAGTTGTCAATACACACTTCAGCAATTTTCAGAATCTGATTGGTATAATTTCCAAAATGAGTACAAGCAGTTTTATAGTCAACCAAGGTACAAAATGCGATTCGTAACTTCACTTGCTTCCCAAGTAACCGCGTGCGCCTCGTTTCACCCCGAGTCGCATACGGAACCGAACCGAATTCGGTGAACACTCCTCAAGTCTGAATCTAGAACCTTCTCGAACACGCCTCGAGCTCGAACCACAATTTCCCCTCGTCAGCTTCAATCTCGATGCTTCTTCCACCTTCTCACACATTCCTTCTCGATTTCTCTCTCGCTTCCCACTTCGTAGCTTCTATTCCCCACCGTAGGCCGATTTCCACCGTTTAACCTATAATCATCCACACGCTTCCATTTCGCCGTCATTCTGCCGTCGCAGAGACTTTCGCCATAGGTTCCGTGGTTGGGTGATCCAACCCTAACAATCTCCCCTGTGGTTGGTCAACCACGAACACCACTCACACTGCTCCCCTGTTCCTCGTAGCCTTCACAGGGTCTAAGTCGGCTTCACGCTCCCCTGCAGTTCCTGCACCTTGAACCTCTCCTTACGTGTCTTGAAGTTGAGCGCCTTGACATCCAATCCATGAAACATTTTCTTGAGCCTCTCGCTGCTCCTCGGCATCTCAATACCCAACACCTCTCGGGTCTCGTACCCTTCAACATGTTCCTCTTTCGTAAGCACTCGCCCCTTCGCTGTTGCATTCGCCTTTGATCGCTTCACCATGATGTCCGCTTTCACAGCGACTCCCACACACTTCGCATTTACTGCTTCATCTTCAACCACGATCGCTGCTGCAAAAGTGTTGGCACTAGCTCCACCTCCACCATTCACTGCTCCTGCCTCCATGCTCGCTGCTGTATCATCTGTGTCCTCACTCTCATCAACCTCATTCGATAACTCCTCCAGTTCTCCCATCTCAGCATACCCAAGGTCTCCATAAGGCTCATCCTTATCGCTCATCGCTATCACGTTCATCTCATAGAACCCGTCACTGAAGTAGCCATCGACATACTTCTCCCATTCAGGACCAAACACTGTAACCTTGCCACTGTTATAAAAGATCTTGCACCCCAAGTCATCAAGCTGTGACTGACTGACCAAGTTCACCTTCAAATCCTCAACCAGCAGCACACTCTCCAGTTTTACTACTCCATATGGACTCTGCAGCACCACGTCACCCTCTCCTGTCACTGGTAACTTCCCGCTGTTACCTTGCAGTATATAACGCTCACTCGACTCCCTCAGATTCTCCATCCATTCTGGCCTGAATGTCATGTGACGCGTGCATCCGCTGTCCATGAACCACGCCCTCTTCTCACGTCCATCTGTCTGAGCCTCCTTCGGTAAACGCACCACGTTCGCGAGATGCGCTCCTCCCAAAATCACATCCTCCTTTTCCGCTTCCGCTACATTCGCCTTACCCGCCACAATCCTCTGCTGCGACGGTCCCTTGTAGCTCCTGCTATTCGGATTGGAGTAGCATTCTACAGCACGATGCCCGTAGCGCCCACAATAATCACACTTGCTATTGAAGCCTCGTTTCTGCTGCCACTCCGCTCCCTCATTTTCTCCTTTATCGTTCTCTACCGCTTTGCCCTTGTAGTTTCTGCTTCGAGGATTTTGGTAGCAGTTTATCGCCTTGTGCCCCCTCTTTCCAGACTGGTAGCACACTCCAAACGCCTTCGTGGCATTCACCATACCCGGCCTCTCCTCGTCGAATTCATTAGCTACTACTGCCGCTTCTTCTTTCTCATCTCCTTGACCTGTCTCAAGCAACTGTAGAATCTCCTGAGCTTCGTCAAACTCTCCGGCGGTTGGTACGTAAACATACCGATGTCGGATTCCCACTCCTTAGGAAGGCCTTGGATGATATAGTCAATCATCTCATGCTCCATCTCCGCGGCTCCCATCACCCGCAAATCGTCGTTGTAGCTTTTCGTCCTGTTGATGTAGGTGATGATTTTCTCGCCTTTCTCCATGCTCAGCATCAGCAGTTGCTTCCTGATCGCCTTCTTGTTGACATCGTTCGTACCCATGTATGTGGACTCCAGGTACTCCCACGCTCGCTGTGCAGGGTTCAGCTCCCCTGCAAACTGGTCCAAATCCACCACGATTCCATCGGCAACTGAGTGATAAAGCTAAAAGAAAGCTTCCTTACTTTGTTTTTTGAACGCCGCTATTTTCTCCTTCGTATCCGTCGTGGAAGGCGCAACTTCCTCCATCGTCTCCTCGTCGGGACGGTAGTACGGCAAGAGGTCCACCTCCTCTGCCCTTCGAATGAACTTCTTTCGCCACACGTTGTAGTTGCTTCCATTGAAGCGCTGAGCTTCACTGAGCCCGATCGTCGGTTTCGCCACCAATCGGCCACTCGCAAGGGCTTCGAGAAGAGCCTTCAACTGCGGGTCTCCAAGACTCACACTGGAACCCGAACTCGCCTCGTCTCCCATAGCGTAGGCGTGAACGACTCCTCTTCTCCACTAATTTCACTTAGCGCACCAAGTGAATTCGCGACAACCTACGCGCTTGTTCGCCAAGCTCCGATACCAGTTCTTAGGATCGTAAGCGGCAATAGTCTACTTGCTATTGCTTATCGTGTTCTCCACGATCTCACGAATCCAATGATATGCGCAGCTCTGCTTGAAGTTGTCAATACACACTTCAGCAATTTTCAGAATCTGATTGGTATAATTTCCAAAATGAGTACAAGCAGTTTTATAGTCAACCAAGGTACAAAATGCGATTCGTAACTTCACTTGTTTCCCAAGAAACCGCGTGCGCCTCGTTTCACCCCGAGTCGCATACGGAACCGAACCGAATTCGGTGAACACTCCTCAAGTCTGAATCTAGAACCTTCTCGAACACGCCTCGAGCTCGAACCACAATTTCCCCTCGTCAGCTTCAATCTCGATGCTTCTTCCACCTTCTCACACATTCCTTCTCGATTTCTCTCTCGCTTCCCACTCCGTAGCTTCTATTCCCCACCGTAGGCCGATTTCCACCGTTTAACCTAGAATCATCCACGCGCTTCCATTTCGCCGTCATTTTTGCCGTCGTAGAGACTTTCGCCATAGGTTCCGTGGTTGGGCGAACCAACCCTAACACAACTCCCGCGTATCTACTTGGGTAAATGGCACTGACATGTTGCACTGGATTTAGAAGGGTGTGCGGTCACAAAAAATAATCAGTAGACCCGGAAGTCTCTTCGAGAAGCGAGCGGAGACGAAGGGGGCAACAACACGTAGTGGAACGCCGTCGTAAGAAGGACAACGTTGGGTGGCCAAGGGGCTGGTTGGGCAAGAGAGGACCAGAGAAGGTGGTCATGGAGTTGGGAGGAGCATGCTCTTTTGTTGTGCTCCACGGAGCGCCACCGAGATGAGCGCCTTGTGCAGCTCGTGGTCACGTGATGAGAAGGGCATTTTTGAGATGTCTCAAAACTACCCTTTTATCACCGTCTCCAAGGGCCCTTGTGGATCTTGTGGCCCTCTTCTCAGAGCAAGTGGGGAAGTTGCGGAGCAAGTCAGCAAGTGGAGCTCGAAGGAGGGTGCGAAGGGGGGGGGGAGGGGGGAGTTGTGTTTGCGTCAATATCAGGGTCAACTCACAAAGCATGCGGTTGCGTCAGTGGAAGCATGGAGAAACACGCGTGCCCAGTCCGATTCACTAGAGTATGTGTCTCGAGTTTGTCCTGCTGTCTTGCTGTGAGATTTGCCGCCTCTGAAAGCCCACGCTTTTGCCCCTCTGGCGTCTTCCTCCCCCCACACCCCTCCCCACCCCTCTCTGTCCTTCTCAACCATTGCAGGTGGTGGGCTATGCCGCCCCGGAATACGTGCTGACGGGACATCTGACGTTGAAGAGCGACGTGTCTGCCTTTGCAACGTCTCATAACCCTCCCTCCTGCCCTATCCTCCTTGTTACCCCTCCTGCTCCTTGTCCCCCCATGCCAGGTGGTGGGCACGGTGGGCTATGCGGCCCCGGAGTACGTGCTGTCGGGGCATCTGATGGTGAAGAGTGATGTGCACCCTCCCCCCCTCTCTCCCTCCTTCCACCCTATCTCCCGCCCCACTCTCATCTCTCATTGCACGTGGTGGGCACGGTGGGCTATGCCGCCCCTGAGAACGTGCGAGCGAGGCATCTGATTGTGAAGTGGTGTGTGTGCCTTTGAGAAGGGGTATGGCCGGTTTGAGGCGACTCATTACCCCTACCTCATCCCTGCACTCTTCTTTGATCCTCTCCCCACCCCTCCCTGCTCTCTGGCCCCATGCCAGGTGGTGGGCACGGTGGGGTATGCCGCCCCCGAGTACGTGCTGACGGGGCATCTGACGGTGAAGAGTGATGTGTACAGCTTCGGAGTGGTGCTTCTGGAGCTGATGACTGGCCGGCTGGCACTAGACAAGTCAAGGTGAGTCAACGGGGGTCAGCGCAAGTCAACAGGAGTCGATGAGAGTAGGCACTGGTTCTGACAGGCCATCTGACGCTGAAGAGTGCTGTGTACAGCTTTTGAGTGGTGCTGTTAGAGCTCATGACAGGCCGACTGGCTCTGGAGAAGTCAAGGTGAGTCAACAGGAGTCAAGCAAGTCAATAGGACTCAATGAGAGTAGGCACCGGTGGAAAGAGGGCATCTGGCGGTGAAGAGTGACGTGTACAGCTTCGGAGTGATGCTGTTAGAGCTGATGACTGGCCGGCTGGCTTTGCATAACTCAAGGTGAGTCAACGGGAGTCAGTGCAGGTCCAGGTGAGTCAATGCGAGCCCGCGTTGCTGCTGGAGCTGATGACTGGCTGGCTGGCTCAGACAATTCAAGGTGAGTCAACACAGGTCAACGGAAGTCTGTGAGACCATCTGGCCAGGAGGAAAGACGTGTACAGCCTTGGCGTGGTGCTGCTTGAGCTCATGACAGGGCGGTTGGCTTTGGATAAGTCAAGGTGAGTCAACACAGGTCAACTGCAGGTCAATGCAGGTCAACAGTAGAGCATCTGACGGTTCAAACCAATGTGTACAGCTTTGGAGTGGTGCTTCTGGAGCTCATGACAGGGCGGCTGGCTCTAGACAATTCAAGGTGAGTCCATGCAGGTCAACACAGGTCAACACAGTCTGTCACTTTTGATGGATCGAAGTGACGTGTACAGCTTGGGAATGCTGCTTTTAGAACTAATGACAGGCCCACTGGCTTTGGATAAGTCAAGGTGAGTCAATGCGAATCGACGCAGGTGAATGCGAGTCAATGTGGGTATGCGTTGCTGCTGGAGCTGATGACTGGCGGTCTGGCTCTAGATAAGTCAAGGTGAGTCAATGCGGGTCAATGCGGGTCAATGCGAGACAATGCAGGTTAATGCGGTCTTCTGGAACTGATGACAGGTCAAATGGCTCTTGATAAGTCAAAGTTTGTCAACACAAGTCAACCCGATTCCTAAACCCAGACCAGTCTCTAGTGGAGGGGCCTGCCTCCTTCCTCGGCCCCCCCTCCAAGCTCTATCGAATCATGGACCCTGCTCTCTCGGGCCGCTACAGCATGAATGAAGGGCGCTCAGACGGCGGCGGCTGTAGCAAGAGACTGCCTCCATCCCTGGGACCCTGGGCTCCTTCTGTGACACCATTGGCACCCTCCTTCACCGCTCTGAACCCCCTCCTTGTGTACCACACCTCCCTCCTATTGATTCCCTTACATCGCAGACCGAAAGAGGAGCAGTCACTGGCAGAGTGGGCGGCTCCCTTTCTCGCCTCCCCCTCCAAGCTCTATCGAATCATGGATCCTGCTCTCTCGGGCCGCTACAGCGTGAAGGGCGCTCAGACGGCGGCGGCTGTAGCAAGAGACTGCCTCACCCGTAAGGCCAAGCAGCGGCCGCGCATGTCCGAGGTGGTAACCACGTTACAGCCGGTGCTGGAGCTCTTTGATATGGCGGGATTTGATTCCTCCGGTGCTGGTGTGGCCGGCGGGCTAGGAGGAGGGGCAGGAGGGGGAGTAGGGGGAGTAGGAGGTATAGGGGGAGGGAGTGGAGCAGGGGGAGCATTGCTGACAAGGTCGTCTAGTGAGAATAACACGAGTACGACGAAGGGAGGGAGTGCAAGCGGTGTAGGAGCAGGAGGGGGGTTGGGTAGTGGGAGGAGGTGGCAGAAGGTAGGGGCTGGTCAGGGCTCGCTAGCTCAGAAGCAATTGTCGCTTAGGGAGGAGAGGAGGCAGCTGTCTATAAGGGAGGAGACACAGCAGGACAGGACTGTTGAGGATGGTTGATGGGCCGCTATTGACCATGTGTTGTCATTGTTTGAATCGATATGCTGCCTTTTATTTGATTAAGAGCCGATGGTGTATTTAAAGGCAAAAGCAGCCTCTTGAAGGGATTGTGGGCACTAGTAGACATATTAGTGAGGTAAGGGATATGTTATGGTAGTGTAATAGCGATGGCATTAGCCCCTAGCTTGACTGAAGCCAGGCACTGCAATTTGCATAGCACGCCCACTCCTAGTTTCTTTCCAGCTTCCCCACCTCCCGATTGGTAGGAGCAGGGCCAGGCCCTCAGATATCAGTGTAAAACACGCTGATTTTGTAGCTCAGATTTTTGTTTTCCCTGGAAATTCAGCATACCATGCTTCAATTTTGCACTGAGATTTCAGTATAACATATTGTCACACTGACCATTTTGCATGTTGCTGTACAAGTACCGTAATACCCCGGAAATAAGCGTATCTGCGCTTATAATAAAACAATGTTCTTTAGGAGGGTGCGCTTATAAATGAGTCAAATCATAAGCGCATGCGCTTAGCGTCATCGCCCGGATAGAAGACATATATGTCTTATCTTATACATTAGAAAAAATGCTTGCTGTGTCTTATACGGTATTTGGGAGTGTTTGGGGTGTCTTATAATTCTTATAAATAGGCAAAATATATAAGAACCATGTAACATTCGGGAAGACTGTAGAAACCACCCACGGGGCGGATTAATTGAAAACAGACACATTTTGATGCGATTCATGCGCCGTCACCTCGTGCCACGTGATGAGAAGCATCAATGCTGCTTGTGCTGGCAGAATCCCGCCCTGCTGGCAGCATCTCATGATGCTTCCAGTGTCGTTTTGCTGCCAGCAGGGAACAGAGCCTTCTAGAACGCTGCCAGCAGCACGATGGCAGCATCTTGCCATCCTGAGCTGTCCTCTACGAGCAAATTTGCCGTAGAGGAGCGGCTCGTCTTCCAAGGGGGGGGGCACTCTGGAATGGGGGGTAGTCGAGGTTGAGCTTCATTTTTTGCTCATGAAACTCGAAAGTGGCTCAACCTTAGCTCTAAGCAGGCTCTATCATGCGTAGTAAACATCCTGCAAGCGCGCCGTCTCCTCTCCCTAACGTCCATGTTACCAACTATGGGCGCATCAACTCGCCCGGTGACGACATCCGGGTAGACATGGTGAAAGAGAAGCGCCAACCGGCGGGGTGCTCCAACGCCGGCTCTGGAGCAAGTTGTGACGAGGAAGAGGGCGACGAAGACCCAGGGCATGCTTCGCGCCTATCGCACGCACAGCATCACTCCCGCTGTAATCCCTGCAGGTTGCACCAGTCAAATTCAACCACTTGACGTTTCCATCAACCGGTGTTTCAAGGCCGGGGTGCGAGCTCGCTACGCTAGGTGGTTCATGCGTGAAGGCCTATACTTGAAGACGAAGCACGGTGAGTCCACTGTCGGTGATCAGTAAATGCCTACCAGTGTAGCTCTTGATGTACGGTATCCGACGACACGCTTGCTCTGAATGTGACCCACCCGCAGGGAACCTGAGGAGACCCCCGCATCCCGTGGTGCTGCAGTGGATAGCGGAGGCGTGGGATCAAGTCCCTAGGCAGGTGATCATTGACGCGTTCCGTCACTGTGGCATCTCAAGCAAGCTGGATGGGACCAAGAACCATCTGGTGATGTCCCACCTGCGCACGAGGAGCACCACCGATGTCACCGAAGACATGTGCCTCGGGGGCACCACGGGCGACAACACGCGCCTGCTTGGGAAGGCTACCAAGGAGGAGGAGGAGGAGGAGGAGGAGGAGGAGGAGGAGGAGGAGGAGGAGGAGGAGGAGGAGGAGGAGGAGGAGGAGGAGGAGGAGGAGGAGGAGATGCTGGCGGAGGGCGTGAAAGAGGTGGCCGTGGCCACCGGCCTGGAGGTGCTGTACCAGGAGACCCCTCACTACCGGGGAGCGGCGGCCGAGGCTGACCGCATGATCGAGCCCGTGCAGATAGCCAGGCACGCCTGGCGAGTGCCAGACTTGGGGATGCAGGAGCCAGCATCTGCTAGTGCAGATGAGGAGGGCGTAACCGAGGGGGGCTAGGTAGAAATAGTAAGATTGGATAAATGCATGCATGTACCCCCCCCACCCCTGAATGCAAGAACCAATTATAAGACACCCACCCCCTTTATAAGGAAACCCTAAACCCTAACACTGTTTAGTAGGCACTGTCTTAAGTCGTACACGCTTGTAGGTGGCTTATAATCGAAAGCACCCAACTATAAGAAACACCCGTATTAAAGACACCCCCTGTCTTCAATTCGACACTGTCTTCTATCCGGGCGATGACGGTATATAATAACAAACACAGGACAAACATAGAAATATGTTATAAATGCACCAATCTGTGCATTAGAGTCTTGCAATTTCATTCAAATCGAAATGTGTGGAGCGTTCTGAATCAGAATCGCGCGAGGGCGATTCTCTGCCGGCGCACAAGGGCAAGGACACGTCACTATCGCATAGGAATGTGTCATGCTCGCCCCAGCAGAGTGTACGAATCAATAGCTTCCAGTCGCTCGTTCGCATCGCACAAGCTTGCCCCAGTGTACGACCAATAGCATGCAGTCGCTCGCTCGCAGCGCACAGACAACAGGTGTTCCCGAGCCCCCTTGTCAGGTCAACTTCGCGCCGTTGCGCTTTTCCTGAGCGAGCCCGCCCTCGAGGGAGTCGAACAGAGTAGAAGTGGATGTGGACTCGCTTCAAACCGGGAAGTCGTTACTATTTTAATCCGGTTTTTTTTAATATGTTTATACATGCGCTTACAATAAATCAGGGTTTTATAAGGGGTGCGCTTATAATAAATCAGGGTTTTATAAGGGGTGCGCTTATTATTGAGGATCGGCCATAAGCGCATTGCTCCAGATATAAGCGCATGCGCTTAACATATGTCTGCGCTTATATCCGGGGTGATACGGTAACACTGGCGAATCAGTATAGTGTACCGAGTCACACTGACTTGGACATGATAGGGTATCGGTGTACAGGGGGTGTTCAAACCAGGATTCCCGCAAAAAGGATTCCCGCAAAAAGAATTCCCGCAAAAAGAATTCCCGGCCATCTCAGATAGGACCTGTCTACGGGAATCGAATTCAGGGTCTTAGACGCAACCCAAACAACTACGCCAGCAACAGCATTCAGAATTTGAAGTGATTTTGTTTACACTGTAAATTCAGTTTGCCTTGAAAATTCACACTGAAAAATCAGCATAAATTTTACCCCCAAGGCTGATCTGGACACCACTTCGGACACTGCACACTGATCAATCAGCATACCCTGAAACCAATCTGAGGGACTGAGCAGGGCCCAAGGCATTAGGGTAACTATGCACCTCTGCAGATGTTTGGTGCAAAATTTTGTAAGGCACTCGCCCGAATTGTGAAAGTCTACTTCGGTGACTTGCAAAGGTAGTGTTATCATTTCATATGGGTTGTAGTACATCGTTCTCGTCTTATATATGTCTACATAACAGCATACACAAATGGGTGGGCGGTTGGGAATTAGAACTACAATTTCGGAAATGAAAACGTGAGTGGGGACGAATGTCCCCACTGTCAGATTTATATGACATAGTTACTGTAGGCTATAGTGGGGTAGCACATATTGTCAGAATTATAATGTTATAACTGCATGTAGTTCTAGCTGTAGTGTAGTTATCCTAATCATCTTGTTTGGTGGTGCACCTTCTTGTCATGCTTCTTGCCTATTTGTACCTTTGAGTCTATAGTGAAACACTCTTTTGGCTAATCTCTCGACCCCTTCCTCTCGTAACTCTCGTTCTACCCTCAACCCAAGTCCTAAGTCAACATAGGCTTTTAACATGGTATTAGAGTGGTTACGACCTTAATGGGCCCACCGCATTTTAATCCTCACATGGCGTCCGCCTTGCTGGCCCCGTTGCGTCCTGCTTGCCCAGTCACGACGGTCTCGGCCTGCTTCGCAACGGTCACGGTGACCAGCGCGGCGAGCTTGGCGCTCGTCGTCGGCGGCCCTGCTCGTCGCGCCGCACTTTCACCAGCCCGTCGAGTGCGCGATCACTTGCCATTCGCGGCGTCGCCTGCTTCTGCCCGACGTGCTGCACCCGCGACCCCTGGCGAGCCTCGCGTTACGTCCCCCCTCCCCGCCCATCGCGCTCCAGCAACCTTCCTCACCCGCCATCCCGTCGGCTGCGCTGCAACTGCCGTGAGTGCTCCTGCTGTGGGGGGATGTGGGAGTGGCGGGCAGTGGAGGCACGAGGGAGGCGGTGGCGGACAGTGGGGGAGGTGGCGTGATGGGGTGACCGCTGTGAGACGCCAGCAGCGCCTGCCGTCGCCTTTTCTCGCCCCATACACGACTGTCGCTGTGGGGGGGAGGGTGAAGGAGTGGCGGGAGTGTACCCGCAGGAACCAGCCGCCGCTCTCCTCTCTCCTCTCTCTTCCTGCAGTGCCATTCGCTGTGGGGGAAGGGGGGGAGTGTGAAGGGGAGGCGAGAGAGATTCTGCCGAGCCAGCAGCCGCCCCTCCTCCTCTCTCTCTCTCACTGCCGCGTATGCCGCTGTGGGGGGGAGGGTGAGGAGGAGGCGGAATTCAGCCGGGCATCTGCTGCTGCCGCCAACTGCTACTGTGGCACCTCCAGCTGTCGCCCCTGTCGCCACCTGCCGTGTCTTCTACTGCCTGCTGCTGGGGCCTGCAGGTGCTGCCGTCGAGCCGCTGCTGTCCTGCTGCACGTTGCAGCCACAGAGCCTGCTCCTCAGGCGACCTGCCGCCCCTACACTTGCTTCTGCTGCTTCTATCTTGGCTGAGGGGTTGGAGCAGCTGAATCTGCCACCACTGCACTGGTTGCAACTGCTCTTGCCTGCTGTTACTGTTTTCTTTGTCTGTGATGTACCCCTGCAGGTTGTGTCTTGCACTTGGCTATTCCTGCTTGCAGTTATGGGGGGATGTCAGAATTAAATTGTTATAACTGCATGTAGTTCTAGCTGTAGTGTAGTTATCCTAATCATCCTGTTTGGTGGTGCACCTTCTTGTCATGCTTCTTGCCTATTTGTACCTTTGAGTCTATAGTGAAACCCTCTTTTGGCTAATCTCTCGACCCCTTCGTCTCGTAACTCTCGTTCTACCCTCAACCCAAGTCACACATATGGGGTACAGCTTTCTAGGGTTCATATTTGTACCCAAATTTCACTTAGTCATTCCATTCTCGTTTCAATTCTCACATGGTATAGAGCGGGTTCCCTCGTGGAAACGCTTCCTAGGGCCCACCCAATCGATTTTTTTTTTTCCTGCCCGGAGCGCGCTTCGCTCCTCCCCGAGTCGCGCCCCGCGTGCCCTCTCTACCGTCGCGCCCTCTCTAGGCCCCTTACGGCCCCTTCGCGTCGCCCTTAGCGGCCCCTCTGACGGCCCTTCCAGCCGCCCTTACGGCCCCTCGCGCCGCCCTTACGGCCCCTCGCGCCGCCCTTACGGCCTCCCTACGGCCCGTCGCTGCCCTTAGCGGCCCCTCGCGCCACCCTTTACGGCACGTCGCCGCCCTTCGCGGCCCCTCGCGCCGCCCTTCATGCCCCGTCGCCGCCCTTCGCGGCCCCTCGCGCCGCCCTTACGGCCCGTTGCCGACCTCCGCGGCCCCTCGCGCCGCCCTTCATGCCCCGTCGCCGCCCTTCGCGGCCCCTCGCGCCGCCCTTACGGCACGTCGCCGACCTCCGCGGCCCCTCGCGCCACCCTTCCCGGCCCGTCGCCGCCCTTCGCGGCCCCTTGCGCCTCCCTTACGGACCGTCGCCGACCTCCGCGGCCCCTCGTGCCGCCCTTCACGGCCCGTCCGCCACCCTTCGCGGCCTCTCTCGGCCCGCCGTCGCCGCCTCTGCAGCAGCAGCAGCCGCAGTTGCTACAGCGGCCGCGGCCCCCGTCCCCGCAGCAGCAGCGGCCGCCGCCGTCCCTGCTGGAGCGGTCGCCTTCGTCCCTGCAGCAGCGGCCACCGCCGTCCCCAGCAGCAGCAGCCGCTGTCCCTGCAGCAGCCGAGCCGCCCGAGCCACCGAGCCGCCGTTGCTGCCGAGTCGCCCAAGCCGCCGTTGCCGCCGAGCCGCCCGAGCCGCCGTTGCCGCCGAGCCGCCCGAGCCGCCGTTGCTGCCGAGTCACTGTTGCTGCCGACGCGGCCCTGTTCCTGCAGGCGAGCCTCGGTCCTTCTCGCCTGCTTGGTAAGAGCAGCACCTCTACCCCTGCACTGCCCTTAGCCTACTGCTCGCGCTGCTAGTCTACTGCTATCATGGCTACCCCCAGTGTCCTCGCTTTTGACGCTGAGGGTCGGGCCATTGACTTTGACGTCTGGGTAGATGACCTGCAGCTTTTCCTACAGTGCGATAGGGCAGACGGTCTCTCCCTCTTTGACCTCACTTCTGGTGCCTCTCCTCCCCCTATTGCTGATGCTGACGCCACTGTTCGCTCACAGTGGGCCACACGCGATGCTGCTGCACGTCTTGCTGTGCGTCGCCACTTGCCTACCTTTGAGCGTGCACACCTTGGCCAGTACAAGAGTGCTAGGACCTTGTACGACACTGTAGTTGCATGCTACTCTTCCCCTGCCACTGCTGCACTTAGCCGCCTCATCCTGCCGTACCTCTTCCTTGACCTCGCCGCTTTTCCCACAGTCGCTGACCTCATTACGCACCTTCGCACTAGTGACATTCGTTACCGCGCTGCCCTTCCCGCTCAGTTCTGCGCCAAGAACCCCCCCCCTATGTACATCACCCTCTACTACATAGTCACCCGGCTCCTTGACACCCTTCGTCCGGTCAGGGACCACTTTCTCCCTGTTTGCCCCACCACCCTCACCGTTGACCTCCTCGAGGAGCGCCTCCTAGCAGCAGAGAAGAGCATAGTTGCTGTAGGAGCCTCTCGTGGTGACCCTCGTGCCCCTGTCTTTGAGGGGTGCTCCCCCTCTCCTCTCTTGACCTCTGTTGCCTCTGCTACTGTGGCCGACCTCGTTGGTCTTGAGTCGGTCGGTGCGGCGTCTACCCCTAGCGGGAGACGCCGCCCTGGCAAGGGCAAGGGAGGCAGGGGCGCTGGAGGAGCCAGC